GGGGATATACGTATACATATAGCTGATTCACTTTGTTATACAGCAGAAACTAACACAACACTGTAATTTATAATTTTAAAGCAATTATACTCCAATAAAGATGTTTTAAAAAAAAATAAAGTAGCAGTTCAAACATACTGTTTAGAACCTTGGAGGTAAGTACAAAACAATCACCCAAAAGTGCTGAAAGTAGTTGCCTCTGCGGCAGAAAAAAATGGCAAAGTTTTTAAGGAAAGGAATAGTATCCAGAGCATAAATGGAAGAAACTAGCTGTTGTTAAAAAAGAAAAGAAGTTTTTTTGGTACATTTGCAACAACATTTCCAGTGTCTACCTCTGCAAAAGGGATTTGGATGCTTATGTACTGATAGTGAAATAATAACCCCAGTCATTATTATTACCATCACAGTAGCTATCCTGAACATTATTCTACGTATTTTGTACATACATTAACTCTATGAGGTATTTTTATCCACACTGTATACATACAAAAACTGAAACATAAGGTAAGGGACTTCCCGTGATTGCAGAGAATTCAAACCTAGACAGTCTGGCTTCAGAGCCTACGCTCAGTCCTGACAATCACGCATTTTCTATACTAGTCAGGACTCTGGTTCCAAGTGTCAGAAACCCACCTTAAACTGCCTTAAGGAAGAAGGCGAATTTACTAGCCCATGTCAACAAACTGTATAAATATAGGGGTAGTGTTTTCAGAATTAACTGGATTAAAGGACTTGAACTCACTGTTTCTGACTCTTGTCTAAGTTCCTAGGTCTAGATGTTGGCCTTATTATCTAAGGCTCCTCCAAGTGGCAGGATATATAGCCCCAGGATCTCCCTGGTAATAACCTTACAGCCTGGAATTCAAGGAGAAAGAGAACACAGCAACGAGATACCACTACACACCTATCAGAATGGCTAAAACCCAAAACACCGACAATACCAAATGCTGACAAAGATGTGGAGCAACAGGAACTCTTATTCATTACTGGTGGGAAGGCAAAATGGTACAGCCACTTTGGAAGACAGTTTGGTGGTTTATTACAAAACTAAACGTAACTTTACCATGCAATCCAGCAATCAGCTCTTTAGTATTTACCCAAATGAGTTGAAAACGTACGACCACACGAAAACCTATGCACAGATGTTGATAGAAGCTTTATTCATCATTACTAAAATTTGGAAGCAACCAAGATGTCCTTCAATAGGTGAATGGATAAATAAACTCTAGTACATCCAGACAATGATATATTAATCAGTGCTAAAAAGAAATGAATTACCTAAATCAGAAGTCAGCAAACTACAGCCCATGGGACAAATACAGCCCCCTACTTGTTTTGTAAATAAAACTTTATTGACACACAGCCATAAAAACATAAAAAGAAATGAGCTATGAAGACATGAAATTACATGGAGGAACCATAAATGTATATTGCAAAGTGAAAGAAGCCATTCTGAAAGGGCTACATACTGTATGATCCCAACTATGTAATAGTCTGTAAAAAGGCAAAATGATCTCTCTAGTTTCCTGAAATAAATCCAGAGAATAACTCTGACTGCTTCACTGATGGTCATACAACCCTCCCTAGGACTGTCACTGTGGTGGGGAGGAGAATGAGATAGACACTGGCCAGGTCTGAGTCACATGCCCATTACTGTGGCTCGGGGGCTGGGGCAGGATTACAGTGGAGGAAGAGGAGCTCTGTGCTGCGGGGAAGGGCAAGGAGAGTGATGCTGTTATCAGGAGGAGGAGGGACAGGTGCTGGGCAGAGAAAATAACAATGGCTACACCTCGCCTGTATTATGTACGTATTTAAAAGTTCTTTTAGGGCTTCCCTGGTGGCGCAGTGGTTGAGAATCTGCCTGCCAATGCAGGGGACACAGGTTCGAGCCCTGGTCTGGGAAGATCCCACATGCCGCAGAGCAACTAGGCCCGTGAGCCACAGCTACTGAGCCTACACGTCTGGAGCCTTGTGCCCCGCAACAAGAGAGGCTGCAACAGTGAAAGGCCCGCGCATCGCAATGAAGAGTGGCCCCTGCTTGCCGCAGCTAGAGAAAGCCCTCACACAGAAACGAAGACCCAACACAGCCAAAAATAAATAAATCAATAAAAGTTCTTTTAGTTGTTTCTTTTGAAAAAGGAAAAGAACACTTACCATTTTTCAGCTTGAAAAAGTGGTTCCATTGGGAAGGAGGATTAATGGAGAGAGAGGTCAGTGGGAAAACAAGGGTTAAGAAGCAGAAAAGAAAAACAAATAGAGAAAGAAGAGAACTCAGTTAAGTGTATTAAAGGCCAAAAGACATGGCCTTTCCTGTGTATGGGCAAAATTAAATTTGTTAAATTATATCTATATAAACAATTTTATTCTTTAAATGATATTCTTTCTTATAGACAAAGATATAATTATGAGACCCAGTTCTAGCCAAGTAGATGGAGAAGGAGTATCCTGTGTGAGACTTCCAGGAAAGTTACTGTTTCCCGATCGGATAAGGATCTTTGCCTACCTGTAATGTAGACATTGGACCGAGATGTACAGCAGCCATTTAGCGAACATGAAGACAAGGCCCACACCCTAAAGATGACAGAACAGAAAGACAGAAGGAACCTGTGTCCCTAAGGACATTGTGGAAGCACCTTACCAGCCCTGGACTTCCTACCTCTGGACTCCTTGTATATGAGGAAAAAAAACTCAAGCCACTGCAGTTAGGTTCCTATTACAGGCCCCAGAACACTGGGATCTCAATGTTACAAATAGTTAAAATCACTTTTATCACCATCTGGAGAAGTTACAAGTTATATATTTGTATTAAAAACATAAAACCTCACCATTTTCTACCTAAGACCAACTGTATGTATTTAACATGGCTGGCTAAGGCCACACTAAGTGGCTATGGGAAGCTACCTATTTGGAGTAAGAATTGAAACTAAGATTTTGACACGATCAGTAACATTTTCAGCCAAATGACTAAATGAGTTCAACTTCAGCCTGTTTCTGATTTTCAAAAAATTACATGTAATAGCATGGCTTTATTCTGAACGAGGCACAATTACTTCCTATGAACCCCTACTATTTATTCTCATTTAATCCTTATATAATCAATGTACTTCTAACAGTAACAAGGAATAAAAACCATAACATTTTTCATTAACCTTTTATTTTTAACTTAATTTTACAATAAAGAAACAGAAAAGAAGTAGGTCATTAAAAAAATACCATAGCTGTCAATTTTAAATGAGGTTCTTGTTAAACAAAGCAGTAACACTACATCCTATAATTACATCTTTACTTGTATATACAAGAACTGTGTGCAAAGTGCTTTTCAAACTATAAAATAAGACTTTGGAATAGGGTACAAATGGTTATCCCTAGGAGTTAGTTACCTCCAACTGCTTGTAATGAATCACAACTGCTTACATTCTTACTTTGCATCTTATCTATTTATATACTAAGAGAAAAGCCACCATTTTCTGATACCAGATTCATAGCTGATTTTTTTAAATAACTCCAGACCCACAGGTCTGAATTTTATTTTTACATATAACTCAGTTACTGGCTTCATTTTTTTTCCCTAAATAAATAGAGGACAGCTTTTAAAAAGCAAATATTAGTAGATCTCTTTAGACAGATACATTTTAATCAAGATGGGATTAAAAAATAAAAAACATCAAGTTACATGTAAGAAAAACAATAAGAAAAAAAAGAGTCTTCAGAAAAGCAAATTGTATTCTTATACTTTTTTCTTCAGGTAAACAAAGAACCACCCTCTAGACTGGGGATGGATTACTTTCTCTCTTATTGAGAACACTCTGAACACATGATGCTAAACCCAACATCACACATACCAAGAATTTTAAAAATTATTTGATACTAAGCCTTTGTATCAAAGAAATCTTTAAAGCATAAGGTACAGCTACATGAGCAGGGAGTTTTAAAAGGCATGCAGGAAGGATAATTCCAAACAAAGCCTTCAAGGATCTAAATTACAGTCTTCTTCTTAGTCTAAATGTGGGAGGTGGAGGAGAGACACGAATTTACATTAGTTGGGTATGTCTTATTCAAATGGAAGCATATGGCCTGCTAGCTTGCAGATCTCTCCAATACCCCTTGTGAAATAGGTGTATCTCCAATATTATACCCCGAAGGAAAAACTGAGGCACTAAGAGGTTAAGAGTCCGGTCTGTGTGGTTTACCAGTTGCAGAAAAGTGATTTTCATGTGTTTCCTCTTTGACCTTTGTAAAAACAGTATAAATAAGTTTTCATTTTATATTTCAAAGCACCCTATGAAGCAGAAACAAGATGTCCTCAGTTAAAGGAAAATTATTACAAAGGAATCCATGTATATGATTGACTACAAATCTTATTAATGATCTGCAGGTTCAGAACACGTTAAGCCCATTCTTCATCATTTCCATTAGCAGGTTATGTCTATTCCATGAATCATTTGTAAAAAAAAAAAGCCTAGTACATAGGGCTCTACTTTGTCATAATGATGCCTGAATACTAAAGTTAGAGATGTGCATGCCCAAGGAAGATTATGGGCAGCCCACAAAGTGGATGTGGAAAAGATTCTTCCAGTCGTTTTCTACTGAATCGCATGGTGATTCAGTGACTAAGAAAGTCGATTTCATCTCATTTGAAATTCACTCCTGTTTTGCATACTTTCTCATATTTAATTTAGAAAATTAAAAATACCCAGTTAAAAATCTGTTCTTATTATCACAACCGTACCTTGGAAAAGCAACTTATATTTCTCTATGGGAGATAATCAGGTAAACATGTTACCAAACAATAATTAATAATTTAATGTCCTTCAAGTTCAAGGGTAGGGTAAATCTAATCTATTACTTATAACCTAGTTGAGATTGATTATTCAAGTATCAGCAATATTAGTCCTTAAAATGTTATCATTTGTGTAGTGCAAAATATATATATGTATATATGTACACAAACCAAACTACTGGACAAGAAAAAGAAATGTAATCATCACAAACTAGGAGTTTCGTGTGAGCTCCACAATCCATTTCATCCCGAGGTCATCCAGGCCCAGCAGTCTTCTTCAGTAAAATATTTTCTTCAGTTCAATTTTCTTTGAAAAGAAAGGAAAAAAACAATGTCCTATGAGTATAAATGCAACCTGAATATGAAACATATCCATACCAAAGAATTCGCTGATGGTAACATAATAATTATTTAAATTCAAAATAAGACCATAAAATTACAAATGATCCTTATGAAGTTACTTCATGTCACTTAGAGCTCGATAGGAAAGATCCAACTGCAAGTGATGACATTACCAAGTAGTTTCTAACAAACGATTTAAATGTACATTCCTCTCACAGCTTCGAGATTCTCATCTTTTTCTAGTTGGCTATTCCACAGTTCAGATTTTTGCAAATTATTTCATAATTTTATCAAAATGGAAAGTTTTGAAACAAAAAAGCTTCATAAAACAACAAAAGGTTGGCAGATACACAACCTGGACTGTTCATTTAATCAACACATATTATGTATCTGTTATTTTCCAGGCACTGTGCCAGGTACTGGGGAATTCAGACATCTCTGAGGCAGGCTCTTAGCCCCCAAAAAAGCTCTCAGTTTAGTTGATAGGATGGGGATGGGAGGGACATATAAACCAACAACTCAGATGTGTATAATGTGATGGTTTTACTGATAGTAGAGTGAGCTACCAGAGAAGAATGGGCTTGTGAGCACAACAATCGCATGTGATCTGAGTTCTGGGAAAGGACCCACAGCTGTAAAATCTCTATACCCTCCTCAGCATTCCAGATGCCAAAATGCCTGAAACTCTCTCATTACAAGTTTATTCCTCTCCTCTGTAGAAACGCTCTTATGCAACCCCCTTGGCAGGAATGATCTTTTAAATCATCAGACCACTCCTTATCCTCTGCAGAAATCTTATGTACACCTTGGCAGGAGTGACATTTTAAATAATCAGTTGGATTTTCACATAATAGGAAATTACTCTGGCATGAAGAAAAACGGCCCCTGGAGGAAGAGAATAGTGGGTGGTTGTGAAGACTGCCTGAGTGAGACTTCAGCAGAAATGCTAGTTGGAAGGTGCCTGAACAGTTAGCAACACTTACTAAGAACCCACGTGATGCAGATTGCTATACAAGATTTACCAAATCTGTAGATTTACCAAAAAACACACAACTTGGTCTCTGAACCCCCCCAATCTTCAACTGTAATAGGGAAATAGAAGAGACATAGGTCACTATCACTATCTTTGGAATTTTGGGATGTTTTCCAGGCACTTAGTGAGCTCTTTCTCTCCTTTTATAAAAAATTAACTTGTAAGATGTAGGGTATAGTGTGATAAGAGAAGAAAAGTTACAGAAAACAACAGATAAGAAAACAGGAATAACATTTTGCCTTTCCCCAGCCCACTGAACTCTCTGCTCTGCCTGGACTGCTGAGATTCTTTCCCTGCCTCAGAAGCCTGGGCCTGAATTTTTGGTCCAGTATCACCTTCCCCAGGCTCCATCTGAAGAATGTTTCTCCTGAGACCTGTCCCACCCTATCCAGTTTTTATTAAATAAAAACTGAAAGCTCATTGTCTCTAAGGAAACCACCTACCAGCACATTTATGAACCTGGACAGACTGATAAAATAAAGTGGTTAGAAACATCCTTTCCTTCAAATTACAGGCAGACCTTGAAGATCATGCAGGTTCAGCTCCAGACCATCGCAATAAAGCTAATATCGCAATCAAGTGAGTCACACAAATTTTCTGGTTTGCCAGTGCATATAACAGTTTACACTCTACTGTGGTCTATTAAGTGGCAATAACATTATGTCTTAAAAAACTGCACATACCTTAATTTAAAAATCCTTTTTGGGCTTCTCTGGTAGTGCAGTGGTTAAAAATCCGCCTGCCAATGCACGGGACATGGGTTTGAGCCCTGGTCCGGGAAGATCCCACATGCCTAGAAGCAACTAAGCCTGTGTGCCACAACTATTGAGCCTGCGCTCTAGAGCCCACAAGCCACAACTACTGAGCCCGCATGCCACCACTACTGAAGCCCGCGCCTAGAGCCCATGCTCTGCAACAAGAGAAGCCACTGCAGTGAGAAGCCCGCGCACCACAACAAGGAGTAGCCCCCCACTTGCCGCAACTAAGAAAGCCCACGCGCAGCAACAAAGACCCAATGCAGCCAAAAAATAAATAAATAAAAATAAAGTTCCCTTTAAAAAAAATCATTAAAAAGTTTTATTGCTAAAAAATGCTAACCATCATCTGAGCCTTTGGCAAGTCATAGTAGCAACATCAAAGATCACTAATCACAGATCACCATAACAGATATAATAATAATGAAAAAGTCTGAGATATTTCAAGAATTACCAAAATGTGACACAGAGACATGAAGTGAGTGAATGCTGTTGGGAATGCGGTACTGACAGCCTTGTGACAGGGTTGCCACAAACCTTCAGTTTGTAAAAAATGCAGTATCTGAGAAGTGAGGTCTTTGTGTAATAGATTAAGAATAGTCTTGTGGACTTAAAAGGTCTGCTTTCAGGGAATTCCCTGGAGGTCCAGTGGTTAGGACTCGGTGCTTTCACCACCGTAGGCCTGGGTTCGATCCCTGGTTGGGGAACTAAGATTCTGTGAGCTGCCGCCCTGCAGCCAAAAAAAAAAAAAAAAAAAAAAAACTGGCCTGCTTTCAGTATTTAACTCATGGATAATTTTAATAGCAGAATGACCAGGTTAGGTAACTGAGGGGAGGCAGTACCATAGGAGGCTGTTCAGGGCCTAATTTTGAACAGGTCTACAGATGATACTCTTCATAGCACATACAGAAAGAATGCTTTTCAGATCCCCTGCAGAGTGATATGAGATCTCTTTTACTTTTAGATTTATATTTTTCTGATGTAAGCTATTATATATAGAAATGATAAACAACAAGGTCCTACTGTATAGCACAGAGAACTATATTCAATATCCTACGATAAACCATAATGGAAAAGAATAGGAAAAAAAAGAATGTAGGGCTTCCCTGGTGGCGCAGTGGTTGAGAGTCCGCCTGCCGATGCAGGGGACGCGGG